TATATATATGCTAACCACTTAAAAAAAGCTCTTTTGATTAGCTAAAACAGGAAAGTCACAGTGTTGTCCAGGCATTGAGGCAATCAGGCATTGAGAAAAGGTTGTAGGAACATTTATGGAACCAAAGGAGAGTTGATATTTCGCATTTTAGTGATAGCAATTTTCAGTTTATGAGCAGCATAAGGTCTGTGGGTTAACATTACTTCATTACTTGAAGATACTTTCACATTTTGTTCTGAAACATAAATTACAGTCATGCACTACCATTCAAAAGTTTGGGATCAGTAAGTTTTTTTTTAATTATTATTATTACTTTTATGATGCTACAAAAGATTTCTATTTCCAGTGGGGTTTTTTTTTACTTTCTGTTAATAAAAAAATCCTGAAAAAAACATTATCCCCAAAAAATGTGAATATTTTATATATTACTTTATTATTGAATGTATTTTTGATCAAATAAATACAGCCTTGTTGAGCATTTATTTCAGAGGCTTTCTTCAAAAACACTTTAAAAATCTTACAAACTCAAAATTTTTCAAGCTGCTGTGTGCTTTAAAAATGCTTGTTGCTAACAAGCTGCTACATAAGGACTACAATGGTTGTCAGCCATGATTAATTTATTCCACAACTGAAAGTGGGGGATTTTAAAAGAAATAGTATTTGCCTGACCATGTGATCTCAACGCGGCCACATAGACTGTATAAAAACGGTCGGCCACCATAAAACAGTTTTTTTTAAGCCACTGATTTGACTGGAGACTTCATGTAATTTTTATAGATATTTTTCACAATTACCATTCATTTAGTTATGTGCAAAACATTTTAATGGGGAAAAATGAGTGCACCTTTACAAGTATTTTGACTGCAACACCTGCTTCAGGTTCATGTGCCAAAGGAGTTTCCTGTCCTCAGCTGGTCCCAACCTGCTTGAACATAGACTTTCAATGGCTTAATTTGGGTCATAGAACTGATGATGCACACAACTTAGCCAAACTCATATTTTGGAGGAGCACTGATTACTTTGTGGTCCAGTTGTTGCAGACTCTGGCCTACAGGGTACAGCCGCCTACTGATCCTTTACTGTAGGCTTTTCTTGAGCCGAAGAACTGTGCATCTGGATGATAGCAGGCATTTCTTGTGCCAGATCACTCCAGGCTGAAAGATACCACATTTTCTGAGAGTCAGGCAATTTTAAATATGAATTCGTTAGAGAGCTTTGACTGTATTGCTGCCCGTTCAATGCTTACAATTTGAGCCATTAATTTAAGTAAGTTGATGAATTAGCTTTTATTATCACATGCTTTATGTATACTTACTGTGTATTTTGTTACTGATAATAAATTCTAGCCTTGTTGATTATTTAATTAATGTTTCTGGTGAGTGTTATTGATGAAACATCATTCACAGACAGATGCTATTGATGTAACAGCTTTTGTTGTGATTGATTTCAGGTTAATGGAATCGATCTGCGAGGTGCCACTCATGAACAAGCTGCAGCTGCGCTGAAAGGAGCGGGTCAGACGGTAACCATCATCGCCCAATACCGGCCCGAGGGTAAGTGTCCATCAGCTCCTCCTGACCAAACACTGTTGCTGAAGTTCACATGATTCTTACTCACAGAGCTACTGCAGAGGTCGCCTTTAGCTGCAGGCAGGACAGAAACACAACTCACCCAGACATTTTTGGGCCAAGCCCAGCCCGATGTGCTCATTATTCCTCCTGACTGTTACAGAATAGCGCATGTGCCCTTGGAGTGTTGAGGTGCCATGTTTGATAAGTGTCAGTTAGGAGGTTTGGCTGCTCTGGACTCCAGTGACCCATTCAGATGGGGTCGGATGCATCACCGTAGTCTGGGATCTAAGAATGTTTTCACTGGCTTATCTTACTTAAAGATGAAGTGTGTCATTTCTTCCATGTGACAGTGCTTTCTCCTGTGCTAGTTTAATGTGCAGAGACAACTTCAAAAGTAAACCCGGTTTCATGAATTCCACAAAAATATTTTCATGGTTTCCACAAAATATTAAGCAGCACAACCATTTTCAGCTGTGATAATAAGAAATGTTTATTGAGCACCAAATCTGCATATTAGAATGATTTCTGAAGGATCATGTGACACTGAAGACTGGAGTAATAGCTTCTGAAAATTCAGCTTTGCCATCACAGGATCAAATAAATAAAAATAATATAGTCGAAAACAGCAAAAACAAAAGTTATAACAGTATTTTTTCCCCCTTAATATTACCATTTTTACTGTACTTTTGATCAAATAAATTCAGCCTTTGTGGCATAAGAGACTTATTTCAAGAACACTGAAAACTTTTAAAAATATGAATTCCTTACTTTTTTTAAGAGCCCCCTAAATGAGTTTCAAACACAAAACACCTACAGTACTTAAAAAAAGAATTTAGACTATAATCATTTTGAAAAATGGAGAAAGATGCTTTGTAGATGCAGTTGGTGTAGATGTGGCATCTACCAGCAGGGGCCAACTGAAACATGCTAACCACCAAAACCTTGACGTTTGGGAGGTTTGAGATGAGTCTTCCTGTTTGTCTGAAGTAGAGTGTTGCAGGGATGAGGTAATTTTGTGTGCCAGCTCTGAAGTTAGCACCACCCTGGTTCCCTCTACAAATAATTTTGAAGCCTAAATACAATTGCTAGAAGTAAAAAAGTTAGGCTATAAACAAACTACATCACCATCACTAAGCTAAGCGGCAAAGTACTTTGCCCAAGCGTGAGTAAAAGCAGACTAGTGCGTAGATTAATTTTTTTGTTTGGCGTGATGATGTTTATGTCCCTGTCCCTGACAGCCTCTATACTCCCATTTGTTGGCCTTTTTCAAGACTAGTAAAACCTTGAAAAAACTGGGTAATTTATTATATCATAAAATAAAATGTGAAAATATCTTGACCTTGTGTTAACCACAGACCTTATTTAAGACCTTTACCCTAATTCGGGGAAAAAAAACAAAAAAAACATTGACTTCCAGACAATGGAACTTGAAGTTTAAAAATGCTAACTCTGAGTTTTAGGACTAATTCCTCCAGAACTCCATATAGGTAACATGCATTATTTTTCTAATTCCAATTGTTGCTACTAGGGGCGCCAGAAATGACACACTTTACCTTTAAATTGTAATCCTATTGTCTATGATATTGGAAACGGTATATGAGGTGTGCATAGCATGAGCTGCAGGTGTGTGCTCATACAGTCTGTGATAAGGTGAGAGAGACAGATGTGGCAGCGTGATCAGGTGTGTACTGATATGTCCTCTCTTTTTTCACCCGTCAGAACTTGCCCTGTGCTCCCCACGCCGGGCCCCGCCACCAACTGCAGGTTTGTGCCATGTGATCAGCACCTGGGTCAAGAGCAGTACCACACAGACAGACTGCACAGAGCTAGACCACAACTAAAGACTCAACTGCTAGAACTGTAGATTTTACAGTTCCTTTGTTTTGCCTTCCCACGAGGCTTTGGGAATTCCAGGACAGTTGGGGCACATAGATCTGAAGTTTACTGCTCAGGTTCTGTCTAACTCTTTGCAGTCTGGCTGAGGAACGTGGTCTTATTCTTGCCCCAGTGGCGTCTCTGACCATGGGCCTCTCATTCAGGGGAAAGGAACAGAGAGAGACCTTGCTCTCCTGATAATCCTGTGTGCATCCTTTATTCCCCCTGCCTGCTGCCTCACTTGATAAACTCCTCGGCTCCTGTTGTGCTTGTTTTTGGCTCTAACCCGCTCGTCCAACACAGACAGCTGCTGTTCAGTACATACACATCCAGATATTCATCCTGGGAGATCAAGGCATTTTATAACATTTACATTTTTCCTTTTAGCAAATTTAAATATAAATGGACTTAGAAATGAGGTACATAAGCGATAATCATAAATATTAGAATATATTGGGGTTGATGAGTTTAAGATGTTTTTTTTTTTTTTTTATGTTTTTGTGTCTTATGCTCACCAAGGTTGCATTAATTTTTATCAAAAAAAAAAAAAAAGCAGTAATAATGTTAAATATTATTACACTTTTTTCTTTTTTTATATTTTTCCCATGATAGCATTTAGATTTATGCATTTAACAGGTGCTTTTATCCAAAGAGATTTACAAAAGAGGAGGAACAAAGTAGCATAGGAAAGCTGATTTTTTTTTTTTAATTATCAATGTTAAAAACAGTTGTGCTGATTAATATTTTTGTGTAAACCATGATAGATTTTTTTTAGTATTCTTTGATGAATAGAAAATTGAAAAGAACGGCATTTGTTTGAATTATATTTTTTTTTTTTACTTAATAAAAGTCTTTACTGTTACTTTTGATTAATTTAATGTATACTTGCTGAATAAAAGTATTAATTATAAAAATTAAAAAAAACTTGAGTTGAAAAAAAAACTTTCTGACCCCAAACTATTGAACGGTAGCGTGTATTTAATTGTTATAATCAAGCATAAGGAAGGACTGATTCATAAGAATTACACAATTCAGTATGAAATTGTATTGAGTATTATTATTTTACACAGTTAGCACTGTTGGAGCTTCATTTTATTTGTTATATTTAATTCTAAAATAAAATACAATATTTTATGTTGATATATTGCATTTTGAAAGAAGAAGTTCCTTATATTTTATCTTATATATTTGGATATATATATATATATATTGGCTCTTATTTTTTGGTCCATTTAAGAAAAGGCTGTGCATCTTTTATGATTTAAATTTGCCCACTTTTTTGTACACTATCATATAAATCAGTGTTTCTCAACTCCAGTCGTGAGGGCCCACCTCCCTGAATGTTTTAGATGTCACACTAATTAAAACAGTTGATTCAACTCATGTGTGGTAAGTAGTGGAGACATCTAAAACATTCTGGGAGGTGTGTTCTGAGATCTGGAGTTGAAAACCACTGATATAGATGGCCTCAAAGCTAACACACATGGACTAAAAGCCACAAAACCCTTTTTTTTTAGGTTATATGTTCTAAATTAAGAGCTCAGGGTCAGGGTTCGGGTCAGCAGCCTTGCTTGTCTTACTGCACTGCTCACTGTCTCCTTTCCTCTCCTCCTCTTCCACCTTTGACCCTCTCTCCCAAACTACCTCCTGCCCCCTGCTGAAACCAACACACCCTTACCAAAACACACACAGATCACACTCACAGAATGGCAGCATGTTAGCCCAATCGCAAACACATACTACTTTTGGTCTATAGCAGTTTTCTAAACTAATATGTTTGAACATATTAGTACAGATTCAGTCTGTAACTGCAGTATTTGTATTTAATGCAATAGCATTTGTACATTAAGTGTGACTTATTAATTATTGATTAATTGATTATTACAAATTAACACTACACACGATTGAGTGTCCTGTAACATTAAAAATAATAACCATAAGGTATATGACTGACACATGATGGTTTATTTTAGCATTCAAACATCTTTGTGATACTGTATGATCTTCTGCTGTTCCTCATCTGCTTTGAGTTGATATTATTTGACTTTAAGAGAGCAGAGGCCAGCTATAATCATACTGAAGAAAAAGTGTTAAGATTCCTGTCATTCTGATCACTGTAGTGGAGTCTGACCAATGATTTTCTAACCTCTGACACCCATCCAGCATATATCATTGGATGAGATCTTATATTGAGCAGTTCGATATGTGGAGGAGAGACATAGTTAAGGTGACAATCTCTGTTTGACAGGAGCTTAGAGGGGCGTAAGTGCTCTGAGGGAATGAATTTGGCAAGTGCATAGGATTCCCCATTCATAAATAAGGTCTTGAAGACTGCTTTAGCAGATGGAGGAGGTGAGGATGCTTTTTTATTCAAATGGCAGCAAGAGACAGAGTCATCAGAGGTTTCTAGAGCAGCTCCCAATTTGACATTCTGTTTTATTCCTGAACCAGTAACTCCCAACTTTCTCTGAGCCCTCTTGCATTATTTCCTACATTTTGGCTGAGTTGAATGATAATGTTGAACTTCAAGCCTTTGTTATGGGTATTGTGAATCCCCAAAAATCGATTCTCTTGGCATTAACATTTAATTCTAATGGCAATGTCCTCCGTTTGCAATATAGCTGTGCACCCACTATGCAAAACTGTTTAGTATAGATGTTTTGTGGGTTTTCACAATAAGTTTCAGAGGTGCTTTTACAAGTTCGCAGTAGTCAGCATTATGAGTATTTAGTCATAGAGTCGTGGTTCCAACTAGGCTGGTCTTTCTCTGTGGCTCAATCCAATTCCCCTGATGCTCTCGGGATCGATTCTGGGGAGGTTGAGCTCATTAAGGTGCAGGGGTAAATGCAAGCTTGCACTTTCTGCAGGGGTGTTGTGGGACTGCTGAGATGGGCTTTCCAATGGTCCTTTTCAGCAGCAACTCCCCGAGTCATAGCAATACGACATTCTCACTGTGTAGCTAGCAACACAAAAAATTTACGATTCCCAGAATACTGAAGATGGATTGATAGTCAACCAAAATCATAGCGAAGCTAAGTTGACATTCTTACAGTAAGTCTGTCAAATCAAAACATGAAGTAGACTCATGTTTTTATTCCTCCTCAAGTATTGAGTGACTATTTTGTAAACCTTGAAGGGGTTATCTCATACATTTAGTTTTGATTTGACGATTTTCTGTGATAATTAGGACTAACGATGGATAAAAATTGATTGCATAACATTTACTGAGAAAAGCCCCTACGTGAAGATAATCTAAATCTGAAATTGCTCTTATAGAAGGAAAATCACTTATTTCGGAATTAAAGTAAAGGTTGGGGGCATGATTAAATGAGTTTGATTTTTACAACATTATTTTGTTGTTCATTACCATTTTGCAACCTCTCTCTGAATTTTAAATTAAAGTTTTTTTCTTCTCTGCCTTCAAGACTTTTATGTAAAAGTCCTTTTTTATGTTTTGCAGAGCCACGTGTGCTTTGAAAAAATTATTTTATAGCTTAGTTTTAATAAAATTGAACTACAAAATAAAATAAAACGATAAATTAGATTTTTCATTATATGACCTCAGTTAGAAAGGTAGAGAGAAGGTAGACAGATGATTGAAGCATGGTCAGACAGCATTGGCTAGCTTGTGTACTGTCTCTGGGAAACATGATTACATGCGATTTTAACAGAGTGCCCTCAGGTACAGCAAACACTTCCTGAACCTTGGTAATTTCACAGTAATAAGTTATACACTGAAACTCACACACAGATCCTCATATTGACTGACAGACCATCTTCTCTTCCATGAGTGAATGAATGGATTGCTGAGGTTTATTTATAGTTTTCAGCACCATTGCTACAAAAAATACTTTAATGTCTCATGGCTGTCCCTCAGTGCTAGCCTACTAAAAATCATGGAATTACTCTCAGAACACATCGCAATTTTTAGCTGCCAATTTGAAACAGAGAACAATAGGTTAGGTTGAAAAGGTTTTTCAGAACTGACATTTCCATTTGTGTGTGTGGGTGTGTTTGTGTGGTTCTGTTAGTGTGGCTTTCTTGTAGACAGGATTGAGGCCACTAGTGGGGACATAGTGACATCACGAGTGTGCATACACTAAACTCAACAGACAGCCAATGGTCCCTTTTCACAAGATTGTGATGACGCGTTTCAACGGTCATCAGCATCGTAAATTCTCCAAAGTTTTTTGTATTTAAAATTTTTTTTTAAATGTATGTACATTTATAACACTGTACTTTGTATTATATTACCTTTGCATCATATTAGAAAAAACTTGTTAACGCTAGCGAGGGTGTTTCTAATACAGACATCGTTCTCTCTACTAACTGCCGTTATCAATCTCTCTCTAATTTTTTCCTTTTTTTTTGAAAGTCATAAAAACACTACCATGGAGTTTTTCTTTTGCTATGTGAGCAAATGGGAATCCAAAAAAATATATTTGTGGTAGTCTCCTATTCACTGCTATAGAAGTTTACCCAACTATGGGTAATAGTTACAACTAAGGTGACCTTCTGCTGCTGAGAAACCCGGAAATGTGAAAAAGGTCTATGACGGGCCAAGAACACCTGAAGGAACTCTATACATACGCTCACACACTTTAACTCACATCTAAATGAGGACATACCATAGACTTCTGTTGTTTTTATATAAACCTAATTAGAATTAAACTGCAAAGCACCCTCGGGGACATCCTCAAAGTAACATTTCGACAGAATTAGCTAACATTTGGTTATAGCTTAATAAACACACACACATTATTACAAACATGGTAGACTACTATAAATTTCTTTTTACTGAGAATTTTTAATAAAACCTTCCTCTTGTGATGTGTAAGTAAGCTAATAATGCTTTCTCCATAAATGTTATGTCCCTCAGATAAAACTGG